AAGCTTCTATCATATTTCAAAGTATAATTTGAATTAATCTATCAATTTATTCTTTTGCAATTTTATCAAATAAAATTTTTTACCTCTATGATTAATTATTCTACAAAAAGAGAAAAATTTCAATTGTTACATAGTACCGTTTTGCATAAAATTTATTTTTCCAAAATTTATTTTAGGGATTAAAAAAACACTTCTCAAATGATTGAAATAAATATTTTTCTTCTTGTTCAAATTTGTTCTTTCTCTTTCGTTCTTTTTCTTTTGTTCTTATTCAATAAATTCATTATTTTTTTATGTTGCGTAGTGTGTTCAACTCTTCAAGAGTGTATTTAATGTATTCTTTTTTAAAATCTTGATTGAAGTTTTTAAATCTGAATTTTGTTGACAAAAGCGTTAAATAGTTCGATATGACATGAATCGATTTATCATTAGCGCGGCCAAAATAAAATACAGACAATACAAATTGTACTTAAACTTTCGCTTTAATAAAGAAACAAACCATTTTTGCATTACGAAGAAATGTAATGGCTTCGAAGATTCACGCGACAATATCACGTGATTTATGAAATACCGCTCACGTTTATACACAAAACACCTGTTACACTATTTTATTTAATTGATTAGTTATTTTATTTTATTTTATTAGTTATTTTATTAAATTGATTTGTTGATTGACGATATTAGATCACTCACGCGATTATATTTATTGTTAATTATTGAAATCACAAAAAAAAATGCTCGACGTGAAAAGACCTCATTGTGTCACCAAACTTGTATATGCTATCCGATGTTGTCGAAGTTAGTGACTATATTATCCCACAGTTACCAGTTGACTATTTCAACCACATGCTAGAGTCGGAAAAATAGGTAATAGGACTATACTCTCTCGTATATATGTTGTGCAGCTCTTTTGCGCATGATCATCGTGATATATTTTATTTGGAAGAATTGTTTTATCATTGCTACTAATCATTAATGCATTAATTATTTTTCAGAATTGTCATTTTAGGTTATTATTCTATAGAAATTGTATATTTGTGTGTAATATTTTAGAAATTGCTAGTATTGAAATATTTGTATTCAGAATTTACATTAACGGATTTTGATTGCCATAATTTCTTAAATTATAGATTTACATGTGAACCTAGAACCTAGAACATAAAAAAGTAATAATATCCAAATTAGTAAGTTTTAATTACGTACTTTATTTTATTTATATAAAGATAATCTTTTTATTTCTTCTAAATTAAGCAAAGCTTGGATTTTTGTAAGGAAAATGAAGAAATAAAATTATAAAAGATTTTCTGGTAATGTTGAGCAACATTTATATTAAGATTTGTCACTGTTATTTTTTTATTTTTCTATTGTTTTTATTAACAATTAATATATAGAGGAAATAAAATTATAAATTACATATCAAATTAAATCTATTGTGAAAACTATATTATATATATTATACGATCGGTATTCATACCTCACTTTTATTGTAAAATGCACCTTCAAATGCGCATTTAGTATATGTTCAGTTTACATTATATATACTATATTTTACAATTAGAAAATAAATAAATCTTAAAAATAAGTAAACACATTTAATAAAAGTAAAGTGTGAATACAAATCTATATTTTTATAATTCTTCTGTTTAGTATAAAAAAATTATATATATA